GTTCCCGTCACTTCTTCAAAGGATCGACTTTTCCGGTGAGATGGAAACTCTTGTGGGAACTCTGGGAACAGCACCACAACACCCAGTATTCCCGACCTGTTCCCTTACATCCCTTTGGCCATCAAAATTGGATCTCGGCTCTGTCTGCCGGGACACACGGCAGCAGCGGTCAGACCGTCAGAATGGCGGATAGAAGCGAACCAGAACCTCTAAAGCCTCCAATCATCATGGCTAACCTGAACCTGTGTTTACTGTGATCTGCAACTCTCTTTCCTGGGAGGGAACGCTGTTCCATAAAATATGGCTTTGTGAATTGTCAAGGTACCATTCAAAGTTGCAGTTCATATATTTATATTAACTCCTCGGTACAACCCCCCGCTCCCCTCCTTGCCTTACCAATGCTGATGGAGGCGAATTGAATTCGATCTGGTCCTCTCCCTCCGTCCCCTCCCCCCACCGTCCCGACCCGGGCGTCGTTCTGCCTTTGCCCATATTGCCAGTTCGCAACTCATACGACTTTAAACTTCACCAGGGGTTCTGGTGTTCTCAACAAACTCTCTCTCGCGTGCCAAGATCTCCTTCTCAGCCTTGGTGTTACCCTCCTTGGGCAGGTAAGAGAAGATGACAGGAATCAGCGCCGCCAAAATAGTTCCGAAGCCGGTGAAGGCACCCGTGACCGCGAACCCCTTTACGAACCGGGGCCCGTCCGACGAGGGCCAGAGTCTACTGCCGTAGACCGCCGAGAGATTCCCGACAGAGTTGACCAGGGCCACCACCACGGCGCGCTTTTCCGCAGGGAGCGAAATGACCTCGGACGTCCAATTAAGCATGAGCGGGAGCGCCGTGTACAGGCCTGCAATGTAGAAGCACAGCATGGCGTACACGACTTTGGGGTTCGACACGGTCACGCACACGAGCGTGCAGATGAAGCTGAGACACATGCAACCCGTGATGTGCCACCTGCGGTCCCTCGTCTTGTCGGCCGTGTACGAGAGCACGAGCAGGAAGACGGCGCCGACCATCCAGATGGGGATGGTCATGTACTGCGCCATGACCGACGTGTAGCCCATCTGCTTGACGATCGTGGGGATGAAGTAGGAGATTGTGCAGGAGCCCAGGTCCATCGTGAAGAGCACCACAAAGATGTACGTCCGCGGGTCGGCCAGCGCGGCCTTGAGAGATTGCCAGTGAGTGAGGCGCTGGCCGTGTCGCGCCGCCGTCGTCTGCCGATCGTGGATCATGCGGACCACGGCGAGTTGCCGTTCCTCCAATGAGAAGCGCTTCGTTGTCTCGGGGAAGTCGAGCAGCACGAACTTGAAAATCATGGCGAACCCGACCGTGCAGACGCCCTCAATCAGATAGAGCCATCGCCACCCTCGCATGCCTCGAACGCCTTCCATATTACCGGTGATTGCGCCAGCGAGGAGGCCGCTCACGGCGCCGGAGCACACAGAAGCGGTGTAGAAGATTGAAAACCTCTTGCCTGTAAAACGCAATTTCACCTTAGTACGAGCTGACGTAGACCAGTTGTGGGGCTTGGCATCTATCTGTACTTGAGCTACTTTTACAGATGAAAAGTAGATTAAAGTACGGGACTCGCGGGTGATACCGTGACAATAGGTAATAAGGTAGGTAAGTACTTACCGATTTCTGCCTTTTTGTACCAGCAAGTCATCACGTACAAGACACCAGGGAAGAATCCAGCCTCGATGCAGCCGAGGAAGAATCGAAGAGCCAGCATTCCTTCGTAGTTCTTGACGACCGACATCACGGAACATACGGTGCCCCAGACAATCATGATACCGGGTAGGTAGTACGACGGGCGGGATCGAGTGAGCAACATGTTCGAAGGAACTTCGCAGACGAGATAGCCAATGAAGAAGATCGAAAGCAACATGGCATATTCTGCATCATACATCATCTTTGTCAATACCGAATTCTTTGACTCCTTTCGCCTGGACTTGTGTAGGGGCGCTTACGGTCGTCTGTGAGTTTGAGGTCTGCTTCCATACCAGCAACTTTGGCATTGCCCTTTGTGACAAGTCAGTTCGGACACCCCTGCGTGTAATCTGCCGCGATAGACTCACGATATTCTGCCTGTCGATGTACGCTAAAATGTACATGAACCACAATGTCGGCCCCTGCCATGGGCGTTAGCATCGCGCCATTGCTGACTCGGATTTCGACTACTGTTCAACCCAGCAGACGAGCCAGGGGGGAGAAGGGAGAAAAAAAGTCTTACCATGTATAAGTCGAGCTTCCGCACGAGGGCCTTCTCTTCCGGAGAGTCTGGAACATAATTTGCCAACGCTTGTTCCAATTCCAAGTCGTGCTCGGAGAGCGTGACTTTCTCAGTGTACGCCTCAGCCGTGTCCGCAGCGTTGGAAACCTCTGGTTGAGGCTTTTTTGTCTTGATGTCGGCCATGGTGAACGATGCTTATTTTGGATTGACCTGGCACTCAGTTGCTCGTCAAGCAATGCGTCGATCACGGACACGACATCACCAAGGATGTAACTTGAGGGAAGGGAACTAATGCTCTTATAACAGTCTTATCTACCATTGGTGCTGATGATCAACCAGCAGCGCATCACGCGTAATGTGTGCACTGAGTCGGAAAACCGTGTCTTTCCTTGATACGGGACAGATAGAGTTGGGCGTGGCTAAACCCCGCATTGTTATCGGTAGTTCAAGTATACTACGGATAGGTAGGTACTTGGAGAGTTTGATAGACCGAAACCAGGATGACCGAAGCAACTTGTTATCTCCATGCAATGGCGACCGTATCTTCGCACGTTCAACCCCAGCCACTATCACTGTTCCCCGCGTTTCCACAATGAAGATACCTGTGCAGTATGGTAAGCAAGTTAATACATAGTTGAAGTGAAAGCACGCGGGTGGGGTTCTGTCATTCCGGCTGCAAATGATAGATGACGAACGGTGCGTTAGACTGCCTGGGCAGCTATTGGCAGTATGATAGTACCTTTCACTATCATCCCGGATATCAACAACCACTGGAGAGTGGGTCCGGCTCCGGGGCCGGTCGGTCTGTGTGACCCGGCCCGGTGCACTTCCTGACGGACGAGGACGGGGACATCCTCTCTGTCAATGCGGCCGGCATTGCAATGTACAAGCCGTTGAACAAGAACCACGGATACGGATATTGTACGTAGATACATGAATATCCGCACCTGCTAACGCTACCAGACCATCGGGTCCGGTGAATGTGGCATCCGGCCGCCGATGCCACATAGCTGCGATATCTAGGCGCTTAGCGACCGGAGCGTTTCTTTATAGTTCTCCCGCGGCCAAAGGCTTTGCCGCAGGCAACGTAACGCGGGAAAAGGAGACAATGCCATTCTCACAAGCGCAAGTCTTAGCTCTGAATCAACAGTATGGCATCGTTTCCGGGTCGACGGAGCGATAGCGGCGAAGTTGGACTTTTGAAATGTCCAAGAGGTGTTACCTGGGGCCGAGACTGCTCATATCAGGTGGGACCACTGTGTTAGTTGGCGGGCATAGCGGATGATGACGAAGCGCACGAAAGCGACTTTTTGGATGATTCACAATCTGCAGTAGTGGTGGCGGCGGAAGATGGTTCGTACTGCGTTCCAGTATTGGGGTCGCGGAGGAGGTCGTCTGGGGGGAACACCTTCCCGTTCCTATGATGTTTGGCTTTGGTTTATTCCCTGTAGTGTGAAGTTTGTCCAGGTCTTGGGAGGCCCGTATCATCATCGTGAGATGGTTCGTGAGCGAAATATCTGTGCGGTATGGCCATCTTCTTTCCGGAATCATATCAACACACAAGCAGGCACTGGAGATGTTCATCATGAGCCAGAACTACCTCGAGCGCTCTGCATTATCGGTCTGATCGATCCCTATTCTTTTGCTTACAAGCTCTGGATTGTTTCGCATCCGCAGGAGCGCTGTCTTGAGGCTGTGTGTAATTAGTGTGGCCTGGTCGTTGCAGATGACGGTGGTGGCGGGCTTATCGTCGACTTCCTAGACGCTCGCTGGGCTTCGTGTGTACGGGAGGTCATGGCACGGAACCGATTTATTGAGACTGGTCTCGAAGAGAGTAAGTTAGATTGTGTTCAGGTTGTCTTTGGCCTCGATCGCGATGAGTCTGATGTCGTAGACACCTAGGGATAATGCGGGGTAGATTGACGACTGGTCGTGTGTATGAGGATTTCGCTCACTTTTCCAATCGTAATTGACATCGATTTAATCTTTTAAAGATGTATGTGAGCTCTTTAGATGTCTGAGTTCCTTGGATAGTACTCATCATTAACCCATTGTTCACAAGTCTGAAATTCATGTTACCAAGGCAGATACCGAGGCGGACAGGGTGAGTTGAGGGGCTTGCTGTAGCCTCTTAATGCCGCCAGAGTTTGGACCAGATCAAGCCAGACTAGGCACTTGCTCAGCCTCAAAAAGCCTCTGTGGCATTTATTTGAGCTTGGCACCTACGCTGAGCTCCATCTCGAAAGATCTTCAACACATTTCCCATCTTTCATCCGAGTTGAACCTGCTGGGTTACACACTACCTACTGTCGCCCGTAGAGCCTCGTCCCCGCACTTTGCGCCGCAATTAGAATAATTACCCTAACATCTAGCCTCGTTTACTAATATAAATTTACAATCCTATTTAAGTATTTTATATACTATTATAAGGTAATTTATACTAATTTAAACAAGAAATAACTATATAATTAAACCTTAAACTTTTTAACTTATATATAACGTTTATCATTATAAAAAATAAAAGTGTTTTTTTATTTAAAAAAGTTTATATAAATTCTTTTCATTAATATTTTATTTTAAGCTTTTTAGAAGTTCAAAATATAAATTAAACTTTTTAATTTCTAACTAAAAAGAATTAAGCCAGGGAGCATACCTCTTTCGTCTATCTGGGCGGGGGCGTTGGTCTCCAATCCTTGGCCGCCTCTACATAAATGAAGTCCTTGTAGCCTCTGTCGAGGAAGCCTGCAATAGCAGCTCTCTACTCTCCGCTGTCCGGAACGAGATAAAGCTCGCAGACGTTTCCGAGACCTTCTTCCATTTGGCGAGCCGCAGTCTCCATGATGCGCATGTTCTTGAAGTAGGCGAAGGCGATGTACTCACCCGTAACAATCGCCCCATGGCGAGTTCTGTGGATCTTGCAGTACTGGCCGATTTGTTGAGAACATATCTCAACGTTGCAGTCCATCTTCTTGCCGGAGCGCAGCGGTCGGGTGACTGCCGCCTCTCGGTGTTGGTGAGCGTCGGGCTCTGCGTCGACAAGCATTTCGTCGTCATCATCGGCTCCACCGCCATGCTCGTCATCCTCCTAGGTGACTCGTGTTTTGGTCTCGTCGATATCCAGATAGACATCCGGGTTCGAAAGGTCATTGATTTGATAGTTGCCGGCAGTGTAGTCATGGGCGATGATGACTGGCTGTTCATCGGCACCAGGTATAGCGATGGTTCTCGTGCCAGCGGCGGTCTTCTTGCCACCGAGGATCTTCTTGCCAGCGCCGAATTCGCCATCACCTTGTTGTGCGGACCGAATCCAAGCTTCCATTGGTATGACATATGGTTGCTTGAACTCAATGTTCAAGACGACTTTACTTCTCTCGTCGTCAATGGTCTTGCCCGGTTGCGTACCTTTCCTAATCTCCATATCGCAGCGGAAAGTGTACTTGAAATCTTGTCCAGCAAGGACGCTTCTCTTGGGGTAATCACGCTGGGCCTTTGCGACAACCGTGCGAGTGTGCTCGCAAAGAGTCTGGACGTCTGTGTGCCGCTTGTATATCTTGACCGCGGGTTTGTTGACAGTTGTGCGGGTCGCTTGGTATGTGCGAGTCTCCTGGTATCCAGAAACGACACCGGCGAAGACGTCTTTGTACAGCCACTTCGTTAACATATCCTCGTTGTGGATGACGAAGGCTGAGTCTTTGGGGGGCCGCTAAGTTTGGCCAAAATCCGTGCCAATGAAGTGGCCAGCATCTCGCGCTCTTTGGAAAAGAGCCACGCCCTCGCCAACGAGTTCGGATGAGTCGCAGAGTTTCAGATCGAAATCAATTTCGAGTTGGGCCACCGATTTGCTGGCTTTATGAGTGTACCGCTTTCTTTCGCCTGCGGATGGGGGGTTTTGTGGCAAATGGTCGTTCAGAGGCTCGCGCTGGATGATGGCATCCAGAAGCAGAAGGGATGATGCCATCGTGAGGCGAATCGATTTCTCTGGGGGCAGTACTGGTCGTCGTCGGGTTTGTAGAGGACGACGTGATGTGAAGAAGGTGCGATGGGGAAAAGGCGCGAAGGAAAGAAGAGGCGGAAGACTATTTCCAGATACCTTTGTATTTAGATAGCAAGGAAAGAATCAGATCTGGAAACTTCCAGAGAGAAAAGGTGGGATTGCTTGTGGAATGATGAGGTGAGGTACCTCAGGTATTAGGTGAGGTACTGTACTTGGCAGATGATTCAAGATTCTTTCTACCTTATTCACGCCTCGTCCTAAAACACATCACAACTTCCATATTAAGATCATGTTTATTACCAAACGCATACTACCCTACCCCTACCACTACCTTTATAAATACTACCTCTACTAGTTTCCCTTTGAGTCTCTGTCTTTGAGTGTATATTCCTAGAAGACTATACGCAAAGCTTTGCAGTATAATAGTGACAAGGAAAATAGAGATAAGGATAGGTGATGGCAATGACACGATGAAGGAAAGGGGCTACCTTTAGGTCGGCTGGCGGATAATGTTGCCATTACCTCACTTCCTCTCTACCAAGTCCTATTCATCCCACCCTCGCTCAAACAGCCTCTTCTAAGACACACCTCCGGAGCCTTACTACCATTTCATGTAGTACTCAAAGCGAACAAAGCCTCCCACTACCGCCTAAAAGGCAGCTACGCCTCCGTCCTTTCATTCGCGCTGGCTCATACGCGACACTTCCAGAAACTCGAAGACTATGATACTTCATTCTCCCACACATTGTAAATAGGGCTCTTTGAGACGTCGAAGAGCCTCATCAGATTAGGGTAAGAGTGAATTGGACGATAGCTGGGTCCGCGACATGCTGCGTCTGAGGGCGGTCTACGGCGACGAGGTCGCCATGGCATTCGTATATGTTGCTGCCGCTGTTCAGATCTTGTAGGATACGGACAACTTGTTTCTGGTAAACTGCGTCGACTTGGGCAAGTTCCAGTATGTCTACTCTGGCGTGATCGTTCCGGATGTTGATGAAGAACCTAGTTTGGAAGAACTCCCGCGTGGATGAGGGGGAGCATTGGATCCGGTCTGGCGTTCCGCAGGCACTGACACCGAGACAATACGCCACAGTGTCTGATGAATTAGAGGTACAAGGTGACCAGCCCTTCACGCAGTGACTTCCAGAGAAGCTCGATGCGATGTCTAAGGGCTTCGGACCTCGGACCTCGTAGCGCACTCTCATCTGGGGAATCACATTTGCCCAGTTTCGCCAGTCGAGCAGATCGATGCCGCAAGGCCTCCGCGCTCTTTCGGTCTCGTCTCTCTATGAAAAATTGCAAGATTTTGACCTAATTGCAATGAACGTCTGAATGGAAGCTTGACCTTACGTGAGGTTTCAACAGCCTTAAGCGATGGGTAGACTTTACAGTTCCATACCTCAACACGATGGCTTGGAGAAAGACGAAGGCCCTCATGCAGAACAGAAAGAGGAATTGTCTTGTAAGGGCGGCTTGTGACTAAGGGTTTCCTCATTTATCAGTAGTAACAGGAATAAGAGCAACGACGGAAACAGAGGTAAGTGCGTAACGGCACGCAGTGGACTGGATGCTTAGCTTGCGACTCAAAACATTCTCAATTTCTAGGTACCACTACCACTACTTGGCGCACCAGCATAGCTTGTTCTTGCAACTTGAATAAGATGTCCCATGTTCAACAGCGGGAAGTCTTTTTCCCATCCAACTGACTGAAAGCACCAAGTCAGGTGGGCTTCATCAAAGCGATTCCATGTTGAGCTACCTACTGACAGCAATGAACTTCCTGCTGGAAAAGATTAACCCTGACTAATGTATTCATCAGAATCATCTCTGCTTCATTCGCGTTCCAATGCTCCTCATCCCATCATCTAATGTATTGGTATCACTTTGTGGATATGCCTCCTCCACCATACCCCGACTCCGAACTTTCAGTCCGCCACATTCAGTGTCTCCTGGCCGGTGATCAATCCCAAGGCGTCGTCTCCGTTGTGTCATGATAGAAACCCCCTCACCACTCGCGTTGCGTATGCTCAAGAATGCGAAGGTTGAGAGTCTTGGTCCAGTTCAGGTTGCTTTGATGCCTGACGGGCCTTCGACAGCTTAGGGTTCTTCGAAATATTGGGATTCGTATATTTCGGGTCGTCAAGTTGTCCGAAAGTGCGAATTAGCCAGCTGTCGAAGTGCGCAGGCTTCCAATGATGGGGAAACCAGCCGTGAAAGTATTGCATCTTTGGCAAAGACGTCTCGCCCCAGGGATGAGGCGGCTTCTTCCAAATTTGGTAGATCCTGAGAGGCTCCTTCCTCTCATCGTCGATCATCGCATCGACATAGTCAATTGCCACAACACGAGGGTGCTCTGCATCGAGAACCTCATCTCCGCGTTTACCCGTGAGAAGAATGTTTTGGGGATCGAGACGCATGTTGACCCCGTGATGAAGCATATTCACGTAGCCTTCCAGGAGCTCCTTGAAGACTTCCAAGCGAACTTTCCTATCAAAATCCCAAGTGGTGCCATCGGCCATCTTGCACTCCTTCATGTTTCGAGGAACTAGAAGGTATTCTTTGGCGGTCCGGAAACAAAGCTCCTCAATGCTGGTGCCTTCAATGTACTCCATGATGATGGCTCTGGCGAATCGTTGCTTGTCCTCCACAACTGAATTTGTAGTCGTCAGCTTGATGGCCCAGGATCCGTAGTATTGAGGTGCAAGGTGTGAATATCCAGTCTTCTTGTGAGTCCAGAGATGCTTATAAGCACCGGCCTCGCGACTGTGCTCCTGATCGGCTCTAGATGTCACCTTCCAGGGCCCTTGATACATTCCGTACTGGAAAGGGTAGAACATGGCATCGTACACCTTGATGACTGCAAGCTGACCCACGGTCAAGCGTTCACCGTCGAAAGATTCCACAACTGGGGCCTTGCCGGCGACGTCTGGTTCTTTCTTACTCCCAGTCCCTCGAGATAGAGAGGAACTACCCGCATTCTCCTGGCTGAACAAGTTCGCTATCGAGGACCTGGCGAATCGCTTCTTCACCCGTGTGCTTTTCGTTCTCAAGAGTGAAACACTTCGAAGCAAGGTTCCTTTTTGTTTCTTGGACATCCCGTCATCGTAATTGGCTTCGTCAACTTTGCACAGAATGACCTGGGTGCCAGCAACCGGCCCACCGGATATGGTTTTCATGACGGTGAGGTGGACAGTGGCCTTGTATTGGCCGGCAATAGGATTGCTGATATGTCGGTCGTGATAGACCAAGCCAGTGCGAGAGAGGCGCTTTTCGGCTTCGGACAAAACTGTGTCATCGCTGTCGATGCCTGGAGGATTGGGATACTCGGAACGACCGTAAGGTCGGCGCGGAGCTTGGTAGGTGAGCACCAGCTTGCTTCCCTTCTCGTATTGTTCGAAGTCTTTGGACAAGCTGGCATCATCGATGAAAGGCACATTTTGTGATTGGGGTGCGGGTTCCGTGTCGGTAGGAAGTTGATCGCTTAATTGCGGTTGTGGTTCCGGTTGCAGTTGAGGTTGAGGTTGCTCATCCGAGGGCTCATCTTGCTTCTTGGGGGGCTGCTCGGCCGTTGACGGCAGCTGCGTGCCTTTGGGCGGACCATCCTCAGACCCAGAAGGCGGGGTATGCTCGCGCGACGGCCAAGGAGGTTGTGCTTCGTATGAGGAGGTCATGGACTGAATGAATGGAGTCGCCGAGTCCGGAGAGGTAGAGTACTCGGACGAGTATCTCACTGGGTTGGTCAAGCGAATGGGAATGGGTCGGATTGAGACGTTCTGAGTTCCAGGTTGGGGCTGGTTGTGTTGAGATCCCGTTGACTGCGCCAAGATTGTCGGTGATGTTTCGATAGCTCGGACGGTATCTGCACCGGAATCATCGTCAGAGACTTCAGGTTGCTGGATGGGAGCTTTTGGCTGCATCTTGAATGAGTTGTATGCAGATACTACGCATGCGACGATACCGTTGAGTCGAGTGATAGTAGACTGACCGAATTGTGCGTGATCTTCCGAATGAGGCACGCGATTTGAGAAGAAGTAGAATTCGCGCGGCGCAAATCGGACCAAAAGAAGAAGTATTCTGGTCGAGTATTAATAGGATAGATGGTTTTTCTGTGAAGGGAGCAAGAAGATCCGCCTACAGCCTCCAAGGTGCTAGAAGAAGGTTTCCGAAAGGATGGGGACGTGAAAGGCTTCCAATCATTTTCTTTTTCTCCTCATGCCTTTAGGTCACATGACTCCTGTCTGGTAGAAAAATCCAATTCAGCAAATGATTTCTTTACAGTGAAGAGATTTCCGGTTGTCTCCCGCCTCAGGCTCCAGGTCTGCAGAAAGGGAGGCTGACAGGCGACTCGGTGAGGTTTTTGCCAATAAGGGACACATCCAGGCAGCAGGTAGCCACTGGACAATGAATTACCCACCTTTTCTTTTGTGTTCATTCAGGATAATAGGGACTCACCTGCAGGAAAATCTCCTTCAAGCCCCTTGATCGTCCAGCAGGTGCCCATCGTTGGACTACTAGACTAAAATGATCGGAAGAACAAGGTCCCCTGGTGACTTGACTGGGAGAATCTCAAAGAGGAGGGAGCACCTTTTGATGCCTGATGGAAGTCAGTGTAAACCTGCAATGCACAACCTTAAGGGAGTGGATGGGAGCCTACTCAGAATCTGATCATCTTCATGTATTCTATTCCCAGAGCCCAAAAAGAAGTGTGTTCTTCACATGGAAGGGTGAAGCACACCTTAATGGCCTAGTGGTGTACACTTATGGTAAGGTTTGTGGTCTGGAATAGCATTTCCCTTTCTCATCTTGCTGACCATTCCAACCCTGATAGGCTATTGGCTTTCAAAAGTGATGACTTTAAACAACGATTTCTTTCAAATAATGACACCAGCAGCACTGGGAATAAGCTACACTTGACTGCCTACAAAAGAAGGTAGATAGGTGGGTGACAAACTAGTTCCTCTCAAAATCTTGCCTCTATCTCTGTCACTCCTACTCCCGCTGTCCTGTTGACAGTCTTCGTCACTCAAGAGATTTCGCTCTTTATACACTAGTCTATGAAAACTATGCCCCAAGAGAAGTGGCTAGGGGATACTAATGGTAGTGATCATAAGGAAAGTGAAACTCTTGCGTGGACCGGTATTCTATTCTATCATGTAAGGTACTTGGTAGGGTATAGTCTAAGAAAGAAAAGAAAACATGACAGGAAAAGCGGCGTTATTCAATACCAGTCATAACCATCTTGGTGACCAAAAACTCGTCGATGCCGTACTTGCTTCCTTCGCGGCCAAATCCGCTCTGCTTCACGCCACCGAAGGGCGCGGCGGGATCACTAATGGCTCCTAGAAGCAGCTCGTTAGCAAAAGTCTTCCATCAAATGCTCTCACAACTGGACAACTTACCAATGTTTACGCCAACCATGCCAACCTCGAGCGCCTCCGCCACACGCCAGCACCGCGACACGTCCTTGCTGAAGAAGTACCCAGCAAGACCAACGTCCGCATCATTGGCAAGCTCGACAGCCTGCTCCTCGGTATCAAACGCAAACAACGCCGCCACGGGCCCGAACGTCTCCTCGGAGCAAATCTTCATGCCGGGCTTCATGTCCGCCAGCACGGTGAGGTCAAAGTAGTTGGAACCCAGCTCGGCCAGGGGCTTGCCGCCGAGAAGCACCCGCGCGCCCTTGGCGACGGCGTCCTTGACGTGCTCGTCGACCTTGGCGACGGCGCGGTTGTGGATGAGCGGGCCGTGCGTCGTCGTCTCGGCGAACCCGTCGCCGACGGTAAAGGTCTTGATGGCGTCCACGACCATCTGCGAGAACTTGTCGTATACGCTGCTGTGAACCAGGATCCGGTTGGCGCACACGCACGTCTGGCCCGAGATTCTGAACTTGGACGCGATGAGGCCCTTGAGCGCCGCGTCCAGATCGGCATCTTCGAAGAGGATGAAGGGGGCGTTGCCGCCGAGCTCAAAGGACAACTTCTTGAGCGTCGAGGAGCATTGGTTCATCAGCAGCTTTCCAACGCCCGTCGAGCCGGTGAAGGACACTTTCTTGATGACCGGGTGCGTCGTCAGCACTTTCCCCACGGAGACGGTGTTATCCAGGGCCGTGATGATGTTCACCACACCCGCGGGGATCCCCGCGCGGTGAGCGAGTTCGGCGAGCGCCAGCGCCGTCAGGGGTGCCTCGGCCGGTGCCTTGACGACGACGGTACACCCGGCCGCCAGCGCGGGCCCGACCTTGCGCGTGATCATTGCGGCGGGGAAGTTCCACGGCGCAATGAGGCCGCAGACGCCGACAGGCTCCTTGAGCGTCACGAGGCGGCAGCTCGGGTTGCTCGCCTGGATGGTGTCGCCGTAGATCCGGGGCGCCTCCTCGGAGAACCACTCGAAGAAGGAGGCGGCGTAGCTGACCTCCGTCTTCGCATCGGCCAGGGGCTTACCGTTTTCGAGGGTGATGATCTTGGCGAGGTCGTCGGCATTTTCCATCATCAGGTCGAACCATTTCCGAAGGAGGCGCGCTCTGGAGCGTGCCGGGGTCTTGCGGAAGGACTTGAAGGCATCGTGGGCAGCGAGGATCGATGCTTCGGTGTCAGCCTCGTCAAACTCGGGACACTTTGCTACCTCGGTGAGGGTTGAAGGGTCTGATGAGAGTGTCAGCTTGGCTGCTCCTCCCGAGTTGATGTGGTGGTGAACTACTCACTCTCGACTGAGAATACTTTCTCAGATTTGGCGCCAACCCATTGCCCGTTGACGTAGCATGATGTCTTCAGCAGGGAAGCATCTTTCAACTGTAACATCACAATAGTTTAGCAAACGAATGGCATTCACTAAGAGGCTCATGTCCTCTAACGGGAGGACCCCACTTACTTGATGTGCTGATGCCATTGTGAGTAAAAGCAATGCACCTCGATCTTGGTTCCTGCAGAAAAGTGGTCTGATGACTACAGAACTACCGCGGCAAGCCGGACAGGCTCATGCGGTCGACTGTTTATATGAACCCTTTCACGATGGCGTCAAAGTTGGCGGCACTGCGATATCGTTGTCGCCTGTCTGATACCGGTGTGGGAACGACAATTGTGGTTTTTTGAGTGGGACCGGCCCGGGCCCGGGGGTGGAGCACTCGGAGGGGGGTTTGACACATCTTGTGATTTGAACCCGCTGAAAATGGCAAGAAAATAGACCAATTCTGTACACTAAAACTTTCGCCCCAAAACGCCTCAATGCACAATGTGTTTGGCATGAGCCGCAATCGGGACTTTAAGGATGGGTCATGCTAGATTCAATGGAGATTTGGCGGGCTTTTCTCTTACGCCTTGGCCTGGGCCCGGATGGGGCGCCGGTTCGGGACCGGCCGGCTCGTGCCCGGCTCCCACACATAGAAGGGGCGAACGGAAGCTTTCGGGCGTCACCACGGACGATAAATACTCGATCTCCCAACACTTGACGATGAGTTTTTGTATCAATCAAGCTTCAAGTGTCTCTTAGAAAAACGGACAGGTATAAACCTTACACTATATCGCGCCTTCTCCGACTCGTTCACAAGATCACCACATCTCAGTTGCTCAGATCAAGACTAGACCTTCAAGATGCCTGCCGTCATTGAGCACTCGGTCACCACGGAGGTCCCTGGACCTATCTCCAAGGCCAGCGCGAAGAAGCTCGACACCTTCTTCGACGCCCGCGCTGTTCACTTCGTCGTCGACTACGACAAGAGCTCCGGAAACTAGTACGCAGCAACCAACGGCTGTATTGACGAAATTAGCGCTAACGACTCTCCTTTGCAGCATTGTCGACGTTGACGGCAACAAGTACCTCGATGTGTAAGTCTACTCCCCGGAGCCGCAGCCGCCGATCACCTCGCCCGGCATACCAATCGACCCGCATCTCGCTAATCTCCCTCGTTCTCAAAACAGCTACTCCCAGATCGCCTCCATCCCGGTAGGCTACAACAACCCCACCCTCATCGAGGCCGCCAAGTCCCCCGAGATGATCTCCGCCCTCGTCAACAGACCCGCCATCGGCAACTTCCCCTCGGGCGCCTGGCACGACCTCCTCCAGAACGGCCTCATGAAGGCCGCCCCGGAGGGACTCAACCACATCTTCACCGCCCAGTCCGGCTCCGAGGCCAACGAGCTGGCCTACAAGGCCGCCTTCATGCTCTACCGCCGCCGCGAGCGCGGCGAGGCCGAGTGGTCCCACGAGGAGATCCACTCGTGCCTGCACAACACCACCCCCGGTTCCCCCGAGCTGGCCATCATGAGCTTCAAGAACTCCTTCCACGGACGCGGCTTCGGCAGCTTGTCCACCACGCGCAGCAAGGCCGTGCACAAGCTCGATATCCCCTCGTTCAACTGGCCCCAGGCTTCGTTCCCGGCGCTCAAGTACCCCCTGGACAAATACGCGGCCGAGAACGAGGCCGAGGAGAAGCGCTGCCTGAAGGAGGTGGAGGAGCTGATCCAGAGCTGGCACTGCCCCGTTGCTGCTGTTATCGTTGAGCCTATCCAGTCCGAGGGCGGTGATAACCACGCTTCCCCTGCCTTCTTCCAAGGTCTGCGCGACATCACGCAGAAGCATGCTGTTGTCATGATTGTTGATGAAGTCCAGACTGGTGAGTGACTCTCTGACCTGGGTACTTTTATATGCATTTGTACTTATATGATTAGGCTTCGGCGCCACTGGCAAGTTCTGGGGCCACGCTCACTGGAACCTCACCTCCCCTCCCGACATCGTCACCTTCTCCAAGAAGGCCCAGACTGCCGGCTACTACTTTGGCGACCGCATGCTGGTCCCCGACAAGGCCTACCGCCAGTTCAACACGTATGTCGTCCCTATCATTGTTGTCTTTCATTGAACCACCGCTAACAAGCCTGCAGCTGGATGGGTGATGCCGCCCGCGTCATCGTCTGCAAGGCAGTCA